TACGGAAAATACGCCACTCGGGTCCCGGATGAAGTGGCGTATGGAATCTACGAGTGGTTTAGTTCCCAGTAAAACACTCTTCTCCATATAATAAAAGAGTCTACGTTGTCAAGAAGGGTGTCGACTCAACTTTACTTAGGCGAAAACTGCTACCTATTAATAAGAATTTAGATTTCGAAACAGTTAAGAGTAAGGATGATAACAGACGATGTTAGTTTTGTAGGTTAATCACAGGTCCATCTCTATTAGATATATAAACTGCCACAATCTACCCTTGTGATTGTCTACGTTCTGTGTACCTACATGTAGTTGACTTGGAATAAGCGCCACTCTCTGGTGTGTTCAGGGGTCCGAAATGATGGTAAAGGAGCAAAGTTGAACAAACTTGCTCTGTTGGTTGCATAAAATGAGTGAACATGTAACCAAGTCGTCCAAGAAGAAGGGCAAAGCAGCCAAAACGGCAGCTACCGCTCAAGAAGTTCCATATTTTGGCAATCACAAGGATAACGTTTTTTAACGCTTTTTTTCCCGAAAGGAGTGTTAATGCCTTCGTTCAGTGGCTACAAGGTACCTATATGCAACATTATTTTGTGCTGCTTATTGAGACTAACGTCACTAACCAGCATCCACGAGCTGCTGATAAATCTCATTGTCGTACACCAAGTCAATGTCACTGTACTTAATTCCCTCTGGTGACAGGTATGTACTGATGGAGTCATATCGCGACTTGGGGATGACAAACCTGTTTTCCTTCAAAGGCTGCAAGAGAGAAAACAAACAAAAGAATACATTACAAACAAAGGTTTGGAATCATGTCCTACGCAAGGTCACCAACAGCTAAGCTCAGCCTAGCCACGTATCTTCTTCAAACTCACCTCCAGTCCCCTCTCCTCGGGTGTACGATCATCCACTGCGCCTGAAATTACACTCCAGCGGCAATCAAGATCTGCGAGGTATCCGCGAAGTATTGGGGTGCCTGCAGACAGCGCCATCTTCAAGAAAAGCACAGGGAAATTCACTGTAGCAACACTGACATAATTGGTGGCCCATAAATTTCAATCAATTAAGAGTTTCTACCAAACAAACATAACTAAACTTTACAAACACTGAGTTTCATTTCAAAAATTAGGCCCACTTCTCTCGTCAGCACCACCTCATGCGAGAAAGCGCGAAATATCGGAAATTTTTAAATTCAACCGCAAATTCCGAAACTTAAGTAAAGGGAGAAATGGTATGGGATTTTCCTGGGAAAGTTTCCGGAAAACCCCCAAATTGTTAAATATCGTAATGGCAACCATTCAACCGGAAAATCCCGGGAAAGGAAATCAAATGGAACAGAATTCCCGCTAAGTAATTTAGCGAAAAGAAAGACTGTCCTCTTTTCCGGAATTCCGGAAAATGATGTTCCATTCACCACTGAATTGCTCCGGAAGTTCAAATTGGAATTTTTGGTCCAATGGAAAGCGTCTATATCGTGTTTTCTACATGATAAGATATAATACTTACAACTATAGGAGTGACCACTGCCAGCTGATCATACAGATTTCTTGCCTCGCTGATACTGCACGCTTGGAAAGTCATCTGTAATGTTAAATAAAAAAGCAGCAATTTGTTGACGTAATCTACAAACTAATTAATTTACTGAGAGCTTTTAGGTCAGTAACACCAAAATGTTCAGACAATTATTTCCCGCCACCTTTGTTTTCGTGTTTTCGTAGCGTATAGGTCACGTGCATAATAAGACAGCCAATGAGAACGGACCAGTCATCTACTTAGCCAATCAGGTGCAAGATAAAGAATAGTACTTTGGCTAACATTAATTTTTGCTTGTTTGTTTGCTTTGTTTGATTTCGAGTCTTGCTTTTCCCGTACTTGGCAGCCGTGTTACATGTTTTTCTGAGCATAGAAACCGTGTTTACTCATTTTCCTCCATTTTACATGATTTACCTACTTGGAGTCCGTGTTAAATGTTTTCCCGCGCTTGGAATCCGTGTTAAATGTTTTCCCGCGCTTGGAATCCGTGTTAAATGTTTCCCCGCGCTCGGAATCCGTGGTAAATGTTTTCCAGCGCTTGGAATCCGTGTTAAATGTTTTCCCGCGCTTGGAATCCGTGGTAAATGTTTTCCTGCGCTTGGAATCCGTGGTAAATGTTTTCCCGCGCTTGGAATCCGTGGTAAATCTTTTCCCGCGCTTGGAATCCGTGGTAACTGTTTTCCCACACTCGGAATTCGTAGTCCGTGTTACATGTTTTCTTTAGCATTACATGCAGTTTATTGTCTCCTCTTAAAGAATACGGCTATTATTAGGTCAACAAAGTAATGCGTTTGTGAGTAGTACACGTACCTGAAGACAGCACATTCCCATGCCGAATCCCATGCTGTCCACATAGATGTGATCTGGCAAGGCGGCCTTGGCACCTTCACCTTCGACATCGGGAAACTTCTCAATGAATGGTGACGGAGTGTTCACATCCTTAAAGACTGGTTATCAAAAACACAATAACAGAACATAAATGTACATGGTTTATGTTAACGAAGGCCAGTCTGGTCAACATTCAGTGTTACAATAATTATTTTGATAGATTCTCAAGCAGGCAAAAAACACGCATGTGAAAGAAACCGTCTACTACAGTGAACATCCAGTAGAAAAAAAAAAAAAAAAAAACTTACCTGGAATATTGATTGCAACTTTTGAACCCCTTCGTTCTCGAATATTCCTGGTGAGAGTGCTAATTAAAGGCACAATGATTAAAATTAGAAACAAGCTGATATGAATAGCCCGATACTTTGTGGTTTATGGTATAGTGGTGATTTATGGTATAGCACAAACAGTACCTTTCAAATGGTGTTATGTGCATGCATGGTCTTTGGGTCTACAATAATTAATGTTTGATCTAACATGGAAAAGCTGAAATGCTTTTAAACCATTTTTAGTGTGATGGTATACTCTCATGTAACATACCTGAACCTTGGATGTCCCTGGTAAATTGCCTGGTCAGGAAAGAACAGTGAACAGGAAGTTCCTCCAACTGGGGTGGGTTCAAAGTTTGGAAAAGTAAAGTTGGGACATCCCAGTCTGAAAGAAGAAGTTGGGAAATAAAAAAAAAAGGGCACCGACTAAATTGACAAAAGTAGAACAATTGTTTACTTCATGCATGTTGTTAAATAGCCAGAGTTTTTTTAAGTAACCCTTTAATTTCTTTTTTCTTTCACGCACCAGTCTCTGAGGTACTGATCTACCTTCAAACACCTGAAACAGTCTAGTTCTGTCTTAATTAAACAACATAAAAGAAGAGGCTTACGAGTTAATATACATGTATAAATAACGATAAAAATGTTGCCAGAGCTTATGCAGTCTGTTTAATCAAAAGCATACACTGTATTAAAAACAACAAAACAAAAACAAAAAAACAAACTACTGACAGTATAATTAAGGCAAGACATTAGGATGGTGCTTGATGGCCAAATTCTAATATATTCCTACATGTACAGGCACGATCCACTCTCACTGATGTAACTCAACATCTGTATTGAACTTGATTTATAAATTTATTTTTTTGAGAAGTTGTCGACATGTCTTGGTGAATGGTTGGTGAATTATTGTTCAATAACAAGAGGCTGGATAACTTTCCACACTACTGTAGTTCACATGAACTCAACCGTGCGAGCCCTTGCATGCAAAATCACCTAGCAGCTTGCTTTCTATACGGTGGCAACACATGCAGTGGGGCCATGCAATGGTGTTACCTGGGAAATGCACAAATTGACAGCACAGTCTCGCCCGGTTCAGTCAAATTTTTCTGGATTTCTTCACGTCTGTTGGTCAAAAAGAACATGCATTACTAAAACTACATCGTTCATCATTTTGATTGTGAATTGAGCTGGATTGACTCACACACTGAACCTACATGCATACTGCTGTAGATCATTGATCAAGGAATATCAGATAGATTTACAACAAGGACAATTGATCAAAAGGACTTGACATATATGTACAGTACATACATGTACGTTGTATAATTAATGATTACTTACTTAAAAATTTCTCAGATAAAAATGTGACAAGTTTTTTAAATTCATAGTTAAAATTATACAGTGTAGCTCGGTAATGTACATGTAATCCAGCTTCAGCTTATCAACAATGCCAATTACATGTAAGCACACAGTAATGTACCTAAATTAAATGCGTTAAAAATATTTAGTTTTCCAGGCTAACATTGGCAGTTAAGGCTTGAAGTTGTGGGTTTGAAGCAGATCCCCCCCATTATAAGAATACATGTAGTAATTATTTTATGGCTAGCTCCGTGAGCGGGCAAGATGAATCAAATTCTGCACTGGGATCGGCTACCTGAGCACGCAAGATGGAGCTATCTTGCCCACTTGGGACTACCCGCCGTGTCCCGCAAGAAAAATTTCCCCGAAGGCCATATAATAAATCCTTTATTGACCATTCAATGAAGTTTGTTTGGTCAAGATGGCTGGATGTTGGCCTCGTTCTTTTTTTGCGAGTTTATGGACCTTGACTCCGTCTCGGTCCATAAACATGCAAAAAAAGAACTTGGCCAATATCCAGCCATCTTGACCTCACACTTGGTCAATAACCCACATTTACCAACTGAAGGAACAATAAGGAACTCTATGTAAACCAGTCAGTCAGCCCCCTAAGTCATTTAACAGTCTCACCTCAGTTTCATATTTGCTTCAATCATGTTGAAGTGCCTCATGCATCCACCAAGTGGCTGACCAGGTGTTCCTACAGACAAGAAATCAATCAAGTGGTACATTCAACTGATCGATCGATCAGTGACCAATCGACCACCAATCGATTTCAAGATTGATTGATGGTTTGATACACTGAAAATTGATCAACTGATTTCAATCAAACTTTCAATCAATCGATCCATCCAATCAATCAATCACTCAGTAACAAATTTTGCTAGTTTAATGATTTGGGAACTGTCGAGTCAACATGACAGATTGTATGTACACGACTGTATACATGTTATACAGTTCATAATTTAACACACATTGTCAAACATACTATCTGACCACAAGGATACTGAGAAAATAATACATGTAATGTGATGAACATGTTCATGTATATCCAAAGTCATAAGACTGAGGCATACAAAATTAATGCATGAAGAATAATGAGAGTGGAAAGTTAGAGCTTAAGTAAGAAGAGATTACCTTCAACCATATAACCAGCATACTCAGGTCTCCAAGCAGTCTTGTTGGTGCTGGGAAAAAAAAAATCAACAAATAAACATACAGTAAATAGTTTAGTATTACATGTACTTGATAGCAAAGTAGCCTTGACGTAAACTTATGGTTCTGATTGGTTCTTCCTTGGTCAGGATTTTGCCGTGGCCATTTTCATGGAACTGCCATAAGCTATGTAGTGTCATATAACTACACGAACATGTACATGTACATGCACTTTACTAGCCTAACCTACACTGTAGCTTGCTCGAGCCGTATTGGGGATATTGACCCTCGGTCACTTGTACATACGACCATGATCTCAGGCCAAAATATTTCCCACTATGGTGTTTATTGATAATATGATGCAGCTACTTTTAAATTGCTTTCAGAGATGTTGTGCAATACATGTATGTGTACATGTACATGTATATTTACAAGTGACAAAAGGCAAGGGGCGAAATCATCGTGACAATTAAACAAGCACATGATTTTTGGACTGGTCATATTTAAGTTACATGTACTGCAACCAAGGATAATTTAGGTCATATAGCAGCTCTCGTACATTGTAAGGTCTCACATGAATGGCTCGATACCCTTTAGGGGAACAATAGAACAAACAACAGAATCAATGCCCCTAGCCCTAAAACAATAACAGCTGCTACAATAATGTGGGAGGCGTGGTGGCCTCGTGGTTAGTGACCTCGTCTCCAGATCGAGTGGTCTGGGTTCAAGCCCTGGCCGGGGACATTGTGTTGTGTTCTTGGGCAAGACACTTTACTCTCACAGTGCCTCTCTACACTCAGGTGTGCAAATGGGTGCTGGCNTTCATGCTACAGAAACCGGGATAAGCTCTTGCCTGGTGGGCCACTTGGCTTGTATGCAGACTTTACCTTTAGCTTACGACAGCTGCCACAATTCTGAATAATTCACAATAATGGCAAGGTTGTGGTCTAAGGAAAATTATGAGGAGCCCAGAGGTTCCTAACCATGAAATCCTGGGTGCCCAGCAATTAAGCTAAATATATGAAAAAGTAAGTGTTTCCAGTCACCCAAAGGCAAAAGTTAGTCATCTGTGGAACACCTGTGCCTCTAAAGCACAGCCCTGAACATTTGGTATACACTGAGTGACTAAATTATGTGGATCGTGGAGTAGAAAATTAAACTTATTTCATGTTTTCTGTAATAATTGCTATCATGCACACACACATCCCAAATTTGTAACAAATACATTGTAAAAAATTATACTTTCAAATAAAGTTTATCCTATCCCATTCTGTGATTCTGTGCAGTTTGAATACCCCCCCTACACACACCCCCCAGCTCATTTTTCCAAACACCCTTCAACCTACAAACGTGAATCACTTCCAATCTCTGCCATGACAAATAAACTGACAACTACATGTACATGTATCTATCTCTAGTTTTGACCTTCTTTGAACAGTACATGTATATCATACGCTTCTCAGAACAGATAACATGTGCGGGGTACCAGTAACTAATATCTCAGGGTATTATTTTTTATCAAAATAAGGTCTCTCACCTGGGATTTTTTAATTCCTCAAGCGTTAAAACATCTAGCATTTCCTTTGCCTTCAGATTGTTATAAACCTTCTTGTTTTCATGGTCAAACTTCAGCAATGTGTATTCCACCTTGAGAATAAAATAATTTAAAAGAAAAAAACAGCTTTTAGTTGGTGTCATACAATATAAAATTATATTGCTGTAGCACAATATTCCCTAAAAACTGTTTACAGGCCTTAACCTTATATTAGGTATTGTATCTATCACCATCCAAAAGTTTTAATGTTTACATGTATTTACTTAATATGTGACTGAAAATACTGCTTGCAGTGTTGTGATCGGTGATAGACATTCCAACACTTCTTGGTAATCTGATCTTTTTATGATTTTCTGAATTTCCGGTGGCCTCTGTCTACCTTCATCAGAGGTGCAATGTGTAGTTCCAGAAAAATCCATACCTCCCCCACAGAAGGGATTNCCCCCCCCCCCACCCCCTCTGGAAATTCATATAAAGCTTCACACATTTCTCTAAATGTTTTGGTCTTACAGAACCCCCCCAGGAAATTCTAATCTCCTCTGTGGGGGGAGTATGGATATTTTCTAGACCTGCACAATATCAAAGGAAGTTTGTTATTGCTTGTGCTACCATCCAGCGCTTAAAGTGAAGCCTTGGAGCTGACTGGCTCATAACCGCCAGAGCTTATCCCGGTTTCTGTAGCATGAAGTGGCTAGGAGTATTTCTACTCCCCTTGGACGGGATGCTAGTCCATCGCAGGTCACTCCTCCGCAATTTGTTAGGTTTCCCCAACAATTCGTGGGTACCCATTTATACTCCTGGGTGGAGAGAGGCACTGTGAGAGTTAAGTGTCTTGCCCAAGAACACAACTCAGTGTCCCTGGCCACGGCTTGAACCCGGATCACTCAATCCGGGGATAAGCGCACTAGCCATGAGGCCACCGCGCCTCCACAACCCAGCACTTGCTGTCGTTTTATTGATTATTTAAATCAATGGTAAGTAAGTGTGAGGGAGCGGTTTCCTCTCAATGACAGCAGCCCGGTCCAAATTAAGTACCATGACTCCAAGAAAAGCCTCTTGTGGCAATTGTCAACACCATGTTCGAGGATCTGGACATCTCGTGGGTGGATGTTGTGATCCATGGACTCACCATGCTGTTTAATTGCTGATTCACTGTTGCTCACGAGGCATGGATCATGTTTGGCCCCATGCAAGCTCCACGATTCGTTTCACGGCCCTGATTACATACTGTAATCATCAAGGGACCAGTTTTACATCAACTGTATTTTGCATATGTTTAGGTTTTTTTTCATCATCTCAGGTCAAAAGTTGTAATACATTGTAAGTCCATCAAAGACAAATTAATCAAGTGTTGTTGGAACAAAAACCTTGGATTTCCTGCACAAATTGCTGGGTCCTTGGAGCTGTATTATGACCTCAGGATTAGAGCTGTCTAGTAAATACAGTTGACTATAAAACTGTTCCCTTAATGATTACATGACTGTACATGCAATTGTGGTTGTCAAACTAATTACTCTTGAGATTCGCACATATTGTTACAACTAAACTGATTATTTCATTAACATTACAGTATGTAAACGTACACACCAAACAAACTCTTGAATCTGATCATATAGCATCGCATACTTCCCGCAAAAATCTTAACATAAGTTCTTATTAAAAGTCATTTGCCATGATAAAAATAATAATGAGGTATGGAATATATTCATGTGTACCTGACTGTATATTACATGTAATGTATTTCTTATGACAACCTTTTACTAATTTTAGTTTCATCACTGGAAGACATTTACGGTATATTATTTTATTCAAATATTGACACCATTCAAAATGTCTTGGAACCTTGGAAACTGAAATATCAGCTGAATTTATTTAGGGTTGAATTATTTATTGCTGCAGTCATGAATAAACCATCCAAGAGGAATAATTTATAAGATAATTTGGCAAAATTGTTACTCAAATTAATGGGCAGAATTTTGATACATTTGTTAGCACATCCTGAATTCGACAAATTTCATGTATCTGTCTGTCTCAGAGGCATGATTCATCTCAGACGGATTAAATAGTCTCCCATTGTCTACTACATGTACAAATTAAGCCATTATTGTTACCAGTCCCAAAATATTGTTTTTCCTTTGAACATTTATGCCCTTTCAGCAAATAAGCATTCTAAACAACTGGAGAAAAAAATTTTAAAAAAAAGAGAGAGAGAGAGAGTGAGAGAGAGATGAGATTGAATTATGTTATAGCGGGAATTATAACAAAACGATTTCCCATGCATGACTGGGCATTTTACCAAACATGACACAGCAAATGATACAAATATACAGGTATGAAATTATAACAGAGTGTAGTGACTCGGCAAAATTCGTCCAGTTTAATATCAAATCCAGCCAAACGATCGTTTCCACCAGATTCAATAGCACTGTAAAAACTTCTCCTTTTTTGTCACACTGAATAATATATCATGTAATCGATCTTTATATTTACTATTCAACTCGAAAGAATTGAGACTGATGTAAATACATCGATCTTCAACGTGATGGAGATCTGAGATGCCTGCTACAATGTAAAACCTTTTTTTCCTGTTCTCTGCTTTATAATAATTCCCACTGAAAATGGCTATTCTTCCACTAAGATTCCCTACCTCTGTTAGTACTTTATCCTAAATGAAGTATTTAAGTTCAACATTTCCCACTTAGCTTATGTAAGTTATGATAAACCTGTCACGGAGATGCATGTAAAGCGACAAAACATTTGCTTATTTTCAGTTGCATAATTCTCCATGAAATATTATACAGAGATTGTCAACATTCAACACCACTTTGAAAATAATCCACTACCATAGTAAGAGAAGGGAAGCTCTATGCTAATACCTAAAGAGCATTAGACAAATGATTAAACACATCAATTTAACCATTAGTTAAAGACTGTTCTGAATATCTTCACGTAGTTATGGCGAAGTTTAGGCAAAATCGATGTAAACCTACCTCGTCTCCCCACTTTAAGCAGTCGTTCTCGCGATCTTTCAGCTTGTTGTAGATGTGGAGGAACTGCAGTATACCGTGTTTCCGAACATGATCTGCGTACTGTTTTGTTTCAGACCATGGCAAGGGTGAACCAAGAGAGAGAAGGCCCATGTTTGATACTCAAGCTGCAACGATACAAGTGAATAAACTATAACAACAGCTTGGAATAGATAAGAAAAAGACCCTCTTTGCAGACAAATCCTTTAGCCAAAGCCACAAAGACTCACTCTTGTATCGAACTGCAAAAATCCTGTCGTTCGATTTTGTGGTAAAATGCCGGCCAACCGAATCAATGGTAATGAGCTTATATTCGGAGCAGACCTCGACTGTTTGTTTACACTTTGTACCTCGCAGGGCTGGGTCACGTTTACAACCTATCAGGGTTTACGAAACGGGTGGAGCCGCAAGAAAAAGTGGTGAATCCGAGATGAAATCATCAGAATTCAGTAGCGAATAAGAAGTAGGCTGTCGTGCACGACACTAAGAGGGGAACTAATATCAGCCCTTACATCATTATCTGCCAAGTAAAACTTACCTCAATATTCCAACGAAACGTAAACAATTCCTAGATATATTTTCGACTTCTTTATACTTTGTATTTTGAAGAAGAAAGCAAAAAAAGAAAGAACTTAGAACTTTTCTACTGATTCGACAACTAATCAATCTTCACATCTTGACAAAGCCGGCTGTGGAATGAGTGACCGAGCCTTTAGGTCATGCATTTAGAAAGGAGAGTAACGACACCTAAACGTCACGCAATATTTCTCGGTAATCGTGACTGGCGGGGAAATTACAGTATAAGTTAACGATAAGTTCAGTATAAACAGCAAATTGATTTCGAACTTTTAATAAATTAAGCTAAATACTTCGCTTATCGCCATCTGAAGCATTTTTTTTTTTTTTTTATGATTCAATCCTACAGGAAGCAACTGATGCTTATTCATTGCACATCAGCGTGACAGGAGCGTGGTTATAAGTTTGTGGACACGTGGACACGAGCTAAGGATGGATCAGAGCGTAGCTAAAAGTTGTAGAACAGGAAAATATGCTTTAAAAAGTCACACAATAAAAACGGTTTGTTCACGCTTTGGTTAAAGGGCACACAAAAGCCCTGAACAAAAACGGCTTCCGTGTTCCATTCAGTTCATTACTTTCAGATGGAAACATTATAATGCGCAAAAGAAGAGCGTGACGCAACAACTTCTTGAAGGTCGCTTTCAAGTCTTTCCGAGTGGAATCCACTTGAATTCTAGAGTAACCTTTTTTTTTTTAAGTCTCAGCCGGCTTAAGATACCTCCTAGCTTGCATTGAATGTTTTTGCGAGCGAGCGTGCGCGCTTCACTGAATGACATTTTCCAACACTCAATTAGTAAACACCAGAAAAACTCAAGTGCGGGTGCCACCTGCTTCTTAGCAACCAACCCAGTAAATCACAGAGAAAACATTGAAGAAGCGTTATGCTATATGGCTATATGAAAACAACAAATGGCGGCGGAATATATTCAGAGGCGCGACTTGTTCCAGCTTTGGTTGTCTTATGGATAACCAACGCCATTTATATATACATGGAGAACAGCGCGAAAGCCCCATGCCAAGCTTCGTGTTGCTCTCTTTTTTTAAGGAGTGATGGCGTTTCTAATCGCTTAAGTTAGCATAGCAGCCAGTTGGGGGGAAAATCTTTCGCTCGGCGTGAGTCAGACAGTCGTTGAGCCGTGAAACGGTTTTGTGGTAATTCCGCTGACCCGTTTGTTTATTTCTCGAGAGCCAGACTGACCTGTGAACAAAATGGCTGCCTTCGAACAAATGCCCCGAAATATTAAAGGCCACTTGGTACACAATAAAATGTAAGCGTACAACTTAATCCGTCGATAACTCTGACAGCTTGTAATCGAAGCTCTACCGAAACATGTGCGAGTGTTTCACCATCGATCATTATTGGCCATTTTGGTCTCAAATGGGATATGGCTTTTGCACTCTAGTCTTTAATCGGGTATGTGTTTTATAAAAAAGCTTTTCCTGTAGACTTCCCAGAAAGGTCCACATCACATGCATCATCACCGACATGTAGTTTGTTATACTCGGGCGGTTTTGCTAGCCCGGCTGGGTTAAGTAGGCAAAACAATTCGCTGGTCAACGCACTCTCAAGTTCGCAGATGATGAAGACCGCAACTTTTCGCGTATTGTAGAATTTTTTGTCTCGCAACTAGCAGCCGGCCCTAATTTCATGACATTAAGGCTCATATGCATCAAATCCGATAAAAAGGACGGGTGTGCTCGTTGTACCTGCTACGGGGTTAAAAGCGGTTAGGGTACCCCTTAGGGTATTCAGCCTCGAAAGGTCCACAGTGGAAGCTTTTGTTGGGGGGGGGGGGGGNGTCGGAAATTTTGAAAAGAATCCCGGTATAAGAGATACCAAGGTCCTGTTTTGTGGGAGTGGCTTGAATTTTTTTCACCCCTAAGTGGTATCAGCCCTAAAACAACACATTATCTGAAAAAAAATTATAACAGGAGATGCGTTGTTTTGAATTTGATACCTCCGGGGTGAAAAAAATTTCAAGATGCGCCTACAAAACAGGATCATAGTATTTACCTCTTAGAGGTTCTTTTCAAAATTTCCGACGAGCACCCCCATCCTTTCTGTACGGAAGTCCCCCTCCGGGCATCAAGAACATGTAGGTGACAGGCAACGTGCTGTAAAATGTGCCGTCAAAGGGAAGCGTTTTATAACTTAGTAATGAGGGAAAACTGCCCCGCATTGTGTAAAACCTGAAGATGGTGTCGAGCTACACACAAAATCAATAGAGAGTGGAGGAGAAAGGATACTTTGGAAGGCGTTTATCTGAAAAATTTCCAGGGGCCTGACATTGAACTCCAGACACACACCCCTGAAATGAAACGTCTTAAATGTTTCTGCAATTTCTAACTTCTTTAGTTTCCAACCGACCGGTGAAATCAAGTAGTAAATTATAGCAGATATATAAACAGAAAGATAATAATAATGATAATAATAATGATGATAATAATAATAATAATAATAATAAATAATAACAAATGTTTATTAGTGGCTTATAAAAAATTACAACTGTAAAAATTCTTAGGACAATATATATGTCAGGGAAATACTAACTTACAAACGAATTACAAATTACACTCATTCTTTACAACCCTTATAAATTTGTCTATTATCATTTGTCGAAAAAATTTAAAAAAGAATAGTAATAATAATAATAATAATAATAATAATAATTAATAATTCCCTGCTTCTCAAACCACTTACTATTAAGTTTTTTTTTTTTTTTTTTTTACTATTTACTTATTCTTATTCATTTCCAATTCAGTGTGTCATGTTGTAATTCTACTTAGTTCTTCAAAACGGTTTCAAGACTTATCAAAAATTTACAAGAAACGTGCACTGGCTAGATAACGTTAAAACTTTCGAGCATTCGGCCAACAGACTACAACCTTCGATGGATAAAAATGCCGTGAAAAAATGACAACTCCAAATACACACAAAAATAAGTGGGACTATAAAAAGAATAATTATATTAAAATGGAAAAAAATATAAGTGATAAAAGAGAAGAAAGAAAGAAACTAAGAAACAAACAAATTAACAAACACACATAGAAAAAAAAAAACAAAAAAAACAAAAAAAAAAACAGTTTCTTTCTTTCACGGTACCAGATTTTTTTTAAAAACCTTGAACTATAGTTCACGCTATAATAAGTATAATTAGGTATACATGCAAGGCGTACAATTGACCGAATTTTCCTGAGTAGTTAAGACACATCTTGCTGGATGCAACGATTGGGTGACCTTTTGTGGAATAGGTTCGAAACACCTCGACGGTTGTAAGAGAACCGTGACAAGCCTTAACTTATCAGCAACGGCCGGGGGCGGGGGGTGGGTTATAAGGTGCGGTTTCAATGCCCCAATGTATGGTTTAATAATTAGCCATTTTGTTTAGAAAAAAGAGTCGATTTTGGCCATTTTGGTTTCAAATAGGGTATGGCGTTTGCACTCTAGTCTTAAATTGTGTGAAGCTTTTCTTCCTAATTTTAAAAGGCATATAAACACTGCCCTAATTGGCCTCAACTAGGAAACTAGATTATAAGGCAGGTCTGAAAAGCCTTTTAAATTGTGGTTTAAGCCATTTTCGGTGGCAGAAAGGGGTTTATACTATTATCTTTTTAGTTAGAAAGGCATGATTCGACAGTTTGCCAGATATTTCCATCGAGTCGCAAGAGCGCTCGTAAGGAAGGATTAGAATTTCACAGGTCCGTCAAGGGAAGTTTAGCCCGATAGATCGGGTTAAACACATCGGGAAAACAATTTAGTTTATGATGCGAATTAAAATGCGGTCATAATGTCTTTCCTGGCTGAGGTAAGTGGGGTTTTATTGCGAGTTTATTCTCACAACATCAAAGACAGGAAGAGCAATCGATATTACCAGACTTAAAGTTAAAATCTTTTATTTTGATCAATAGCTAAATGAAGTAGATTAATAAATTTCGCAAGTTATCCTGCTATTCACGTTACGATCGAAGTTTCTCGAAAGTTCAGAATAATCCAGAAGAACTCAAGACGTTTGCATTTGGCCTCCGGACGTGACACTCGGTCACAAAATTGTTGAAATGATTGCTTCTATGACAAAGCTGACAATCCACCCCCAAGGGGAAGTGCGTAATGGAAATGAAACGGAAAGGAAGCAGCGCTGTTTCACACAACCGCCTCTTTATACCACTAACCAAAAAAAGCGACCAAAAGACAAAAATAAGCGGATACGGCGGATATCCACTTTTAATTTTATTTTTCTAGGAAGAAAAAACAAACAAACAAACAAGCAGACAGAAGCAAAACAACAACAACAAGAAAACAAACATAAAAAAAAAAATAGAAACAGAAACAGAAAGCCCACAACTGAGGAAAAAACAAATGAGCCCTTAAATTATCAGGAAAGGGAAATATTATAGGCAGACGGTGTTAACGTTCCAGAAAGACTACGTTTTTTCTCCGGGGGTTCTCTCAAGTAGCTTTACTCTTGTCCATAGGTATATCAGTTGTTGTTGCCGTCTGCCTAAAGAGGCTGCGAAATAATAAATTATGCAATTCTTCGGATTCGGGGGTGTACGTGTGCTGAACGAGGCATTTGATTTTATCTCCTTGAAAGAAACGCTGTTTTGGCTTGGAGCAAGGCAAGGGTTATGAAAACTCAATGTGCACAAGGTCACCCCAAAATCTTGAAGGCTGTCTTCCCGGATATGTTGTCTATCCTAAGTATGTGTTTATCACGCGTTTACCACGTACGTGACCTCATCTCACAACTAAATACGTCACGCATTACATAATGACAGGGGTAAAATCGGATAAAGGGGATTCAAAGCCGGTGGACAAGCATTCAGTCAGAGCAGTCTCAGTATTGAGCAGTAAACTGGAGACGTTGTTGATCAACTGTACGCTTCCAAGACCTTGACTTCGCCCAGCTTTTAGGGAACTGACATGGAAATTTCGCAGTTGAGAAATCGCTACTCTAGGTGGGAAGTTATGCTGGAGTATAGTATTGTGACTATTGTATTTGGGTGCTTCCTAGTGTTGACATGGTCTGTTAAACTTCTGCGAACAACACAAAATGGCTGGAATCTGGATTAACCAGGAAAGTTCAGCTGGGAGCGCAGAACTTTGGTCAGGATCAACGGTGCAAATAATGAAGAAAAGAAGATTTTGCTGTGTAATATTTTTGATTTAATTTTTAACTCGCGATTTTATTGTACGTATGTGCAGTGAGTTATTTGAGATGGATGTCCTTTAATCCAGTTACCGACAAAGACCCAAGATTGTGTGGACAGCTTTGATGGAAGACGACTTAGCATGCAAGGCCCAAGCTATGAAAAATGCTGAACTCTTTAGCTTACAAGAACTAGTCGACAAATACTTTATACAGTATGCAATTTATTTTCACGACCAAGATCACAGCTTTAAGGAACTCTAGAACCGATCGGTTCTTTGCCGGGATTTAAAGAGAACAACCGGAATCGTGTCAAAGAAGGCAAATAGCAGCTTTATTTATGAAGTCTTTTAAGACTGTACTTTTATAGCTAAATATTGTTTGCCGTAAAACGCAAAACCCGAAAGAGGAAATTTCTAATTTTATCGATGCGATCTCAAGGTGTAAGATTCTTTTTGCGTTTTCATAACGCAACGGTGATACTCCTCTGCAGATGACAAATGCGACGTATACATTTGCAGATGAAGGCAACAAGGCCGGACATTGAATTGGTGTAAGTTATTTCCTTTTTTGTTTTTTGACAAAGAATTTTTTTTTCTGCCCGTTAATTAACGAAGAATAGCCTAGTTTGAAGACTTGAATTGTTTACCGGTTATTATTTTCTGATAATGAAAGAAGGCCCCGGAAAAGAAGATAACGTGAAAAAGCGTGAAATATGATGACCTTTAATTTATGAACTGTATTTAACCGAAGTCTTTGTATGCTGAAATAAATGTCATTCTTCGGATAAATCTCTTTTAATCAGTATAACCACGTATAGCGCACGCTCTTAAAAGGTCTGAGGAAAAAAAACATCTGTGTCGTGGCCACAAGGGGGAACATGGTCAACAGGTCTCTTCACATGCACGTGCCTGAAATTCGATACCAAAAATTTCCCTCCTTGAACAGTTTCTTGGTGTCGATCTGTTTATACAGATAGGTGGGCGTGACGAAAATAGTTAAGCGGAAATGACAGCATAAAAAGAATATCTGTAATCAACTGGGCTTCTACAGGCCGAGGAGTAGGAGGTAGTAGGACGTGGGGGCAAAAGCATTTGGCTCGTGCAAGAAACTATGATCATAATCACTTAGCTCGTGCTAGGAGGCCACGCACAAACAGTTTTCCCGGCCTTCCACTTACACGTCTGCCATAATGGTAGGTAGAACGCTGGGGACGTACGTGCAATGGTCTAACAGCTGTACCAAAGAGTCATCGATAACAGAAGGCGTCCAGTATTACATGTATGTGTCATGTATGTTTCTTCTCATGAGGAGGATCAGAAACGCAAGCTCTGCTGTGTGGACAGAAACCTACTGAAATGAAAAGCGACCGAAGAACTTGTGATTTCTGTTTGTGGTGTAGACGGTGGCCCAGGGACGGATCATGAGCTGATTGTTCAAGGGAGGGGGGAGGGGCGGGGGGGTAGGTAACTGCTACCTTGGGATTGCAGAGACAATGAAGCATGCAAGGTCTCGTTACTCTTGCTCACGGGTGTAACTGTTAGAGATTAACGTATTTCTATCGCTCCTTCTTCTTCTTCTCCTTTTTTTTTTTTTTTTCACCTAGAGAGTTTTCTTTATTTCTAATTCTGCCATAAGACAATTTTTCAGTCCTAAATCCCTCCCTGTGTCACCATAATAGGGGCCAGTAACTAGAAGAACTGTTTTAAAAATGCAATTCAGGATCCCGATTGAACTCGGTCCGGCAAATTTGCTAGCCGCTCCGGCTAGCTGGTACGTGCTATTGACTAAAGCGAGAGTCGTTAATATGTTTCATCTGATCGATATATTGGCTAAAAGTGGGCTTCTCCACCAAGAATGGGAATTCGGTGTCTTATCTTAGAATTTAACTGATTGCTGGCGTGATCTTAAGGTGATTAGACTGATTAGAAGATCAAAGGTGCTGCGTGTAAAGCTGCAAACATTTACACAAATCTGACTATGGACCAAATTTTACCAGAACAGAACAGTGGCAAGTGATGGGCTCCTGACAGTGGCACTGAACATAAAGCACTTCAAGACTGGCATTTCAGCGACTTTACTCGTTAAAATTGTCAAAGTCAGTTTCCTCCTGAAAGATATCATCCACTGTTACTCAGTTTGAGCACACCTGACAGGTCATGGCCACCTACCACGGGTAAAAGATTGCCTCAGGGACTTTGGCGTTGCAGTCATTATGATAGGTCTACGAACCGCAAATGGATTTCCGGCCGGCTGTCGAAAACATAACTACAGTCCAACTGAAAACTATCTGCGTCTGTAGGCTTCTTTGTCTCCTATGACGAGTCTCAGCAACGTGAGAGTAGATAATTACTTCTTCCGCCATCCCACCTTGCAGTGCTTTGATTTTTTTTTTTTTTTTTTTTTTCGGCTATCGGCGTTAAGTGGAAAGTTTGGCCAATACTACTCAACGCAGGGGGACAGCTATTCAGCTAATTTAGGGTCATTCAGGGTCTTCCCTAATTTTCATATTCCCAAGGATAAATGTGAATTACAGTCATCAAATTTAATTTTCAGAAAAAGATGTGAAATTTAGAATTTGTTGGTCATTATTATCATTTAAATTGGTTTATTCTCTTTACTTGATAGCTCCTTTCCGCTTTCACAAGTTTCGGCGTTTTGGGCTTTCCACACCAAGATAAGTATAAAGCAAATTCATAGCAAGGTCCTTGACATTAAAGCAGATTGTATCAGCCGCGGGACGCTGTCCCCACCACGCACATTCCTCCTTAGATGGGCATCGTCAGTACCATTGCCGAGGAACATTTATTGAAACGGCTTAGAAACAGACGGACCCGGCTAACCTGTTTACATCTTTGTTGCCACCAATTCATGTAAAAACACACTTGATCTGAATTGGGTAGCAACAAGGATGTAAACACGTTAACCGAATATCACTTAGTATCCACTAGCCTGGGTAAGTCACTGCCTGGGTATAGCGTGGTTTGTTTTGTTAAAACTAATCCCTCCGGCCTTTGAACAACAAGGAGCTGGCAACATATGACCTACTTGCCCTGTCTGGTTGAGAAACAAATTACTCCGAGTATCAAAGTTTTACTATCCCGAAAGTAAAATGTTATTTTAAGGCAAAATCGCCCTGACATAGAATTTCATTTCCCCGCATGCTGGGTTATACCGCCAGTAAAAGAAAACTGTATTTCTAAACCTTGAAACTATAGAAGAATCTACTCGGCAGAGTGGTCATCACGTTTGGGGTCGAAACAATTCCGTTTGTGAGTGTCATGTTGTTATTTGCTGCTTGTTTAGGTTTATGGCAATTGAGAAGTGAAAATATAAGTTCGAAATATTGGTCAGGCACAGGAGGTTGCAGAGGTACAACCGGCGCAAGGTCCCATTTAAGTGATATTAGAACTGCCAAAGGTAAATTGCACACAAGGTTTTTTCCACTATGGGTTGTTTTTATTACGACGTCACATCCATGAGAGACAGTTTTTAAAGTTATTTTATCAAGATATCTTTAGCACGAAACAGTGTTCTACAGTTTGAGAAACAGACTTATACAACTACACATAAATGAAACAAACTGGGAGGTCACAATCGAGACAAAATGAATTAGGAAAATGAAACAATTTTGTATTATGATTTTGTAATGGATTCTAAATAGTACCCATCTTCCGCCTTTGCTACAATGTACCACAAGTCCCGTCGTTGAAAGTTGATGATCTAATAAGTTCAATTCTGCACATAACTACTTCTACATCTCATCTGGAAGAAGTAAACTTTCTTTAGACAAGTCCGGTTAATATGACTCGAGAAGTGGCCCCGTCAGCCAAAGAATTGGAGCATTCGATCTTAGATCTTGAATCTCGACAATGTTTGTCTGCCACCTTGCAGTGCTAACTCAGTCAAGTACACTAGTTGCTTTAGTGTAGGCAGCATTTTTCCTTGCCTCAGTCCAAGGAGAAGACACCAGACTATCTCTAATCGGTCAACTGAAGGTCAAAGCAAGTGTATTGCAGATCGGCAAGAATTTTCTGAGGATAAGGAAAGACGGCCATGAGTTTGAAGCCGTATTTCTTGTACAGCCGAATAGCTGGTGTCTGTGCACTGGTGGTAGTCAACTCAAGCTTCTCGAATTGCTGATCCTTGGCGTGTTTGAGCAGTTCGTCAATCAGTTTCCTGGCGATTCCCATTCGTCTGCAGACTGGCGATACAGACATCCTCTGAAGCTCAGCGACCCCTGGCTTGTGGCGTTCATTATAAATGAGTCCCACCATGCCCACAACTTTACCATTCCACTCCGCTACCCACATGTGAGAGCCATCATTGGACATGTAACTCTTCTCAATGTTCATTAAGTCCGTTGCTAAGCAGTTGTTGATGAACTTCCAGCACTCCAGGTAAACATCGACATACAGAAGAGACAGCAGAACGGCGCAAGCAAAAATGTACAGAGGAACAATCCACAAGTTGTATTTGAAAGCAGCAAGGAAAACAAACACGTTCAACACTGCAAGGATCCAACAGTATCTAGGGAAGACTAGACGAGTCACAAGGCTGATGAGCTGCTCCATTCCTTGTGTAAATATTTCTCTGCAATCTTCATAATCGGAGCTTTCGTACGAGCGTATTTTTACCTCGCTGGAACTGGCTGCTGTTGAGAAAGTACTCCCTTGAAGAAGAATTTCTTTGGTGGATTTTGTCATCTGTGAGAAACAAAGAAACGAAAACGTTTTGAATTAGGTGTGGCAATCCTGTTGTGTGCTTTTTTCCTGTCTTGTTCCCCCGGCCTTCACACCTAATAAAGTCTAATCTCATGTGTGGGCCCGCACCGGCACCTTGTTTAGATCTGCGTCCCTTTGCGGCTAAACTCTGAGATTAACTCCTGGAATTTCCTTTCTTATCTGACTTAACAGTAAATTGTCGGATTAGTTCACCTGGCTTCCTACGCAGTTCTGTCTCCTATATATTGTGCACTGATTTGCTGATATGATGTAACCATATATATTCTTCTGTGTCTATGTGATGTTTTTGGGAGGGAACGACATGAACTCTGCCTTTCAGCCTCTTTCGGAAGAAATTCCCAGTTTTAGATATACGTTTGTCTTGGAAAGTAAATTCAATTTTTGCAGATAGATGCTAGCGGACGAAGTATTCCTCTTTGCATTGTTTTATTCACTGCACAATGCTCTAGGACGGCTGTTAACAAGGCTGTGAACTTCACCAAAAGTTTCATTTTCGTTCTGAAGATTCTTCTCACTGGATTGTCAGAAGTGATCTCATTTTTAAGGGACTCATTTCATGGCTGCTTGAACGTAACAAGGTTCCAATATAGATCCACAACAACAAAAAAAAGAAATATGTAATACCGGCTAACTCGCACTTCTAGTCTAGCATTTTTTGTTGCGATCACAGCAAGTTAACGCTAGTTTTTTTCAAAGTAAGACGCGGTCAAAGAGAATCTTCGGACTCCTCGAAGCAATTCTAGTTTCCACAAATGAAGACGAAAGAAAACATTATCGAGTTATGCTTGAAGGCGAGGGTGATTGAAATAAATAAATCACATCTGAAGCTTGTGGACAGCTTTTTTTTCGTTGGTTCCGTATACTACGATGTAGTTCTCTTGATATATGAAAGAATTTCCACAAGTTCGGATTATTGAGAAAAAAGTCGAGGGTCTTCGTACACGGAGTTTGTTTGTCAGTGTGCTTCAGTTCCATGACATTTCTCGTTCTGAATTCGCGGGTACGTGCCTGGTGTGAACTGAGGATTTGTAGATGGCCTGGAAAATGTAGAATGACTGAATTCATGCAGCATAACGATTTGTATGAAGGTTGAGTTTTGTAAAGCTGGCTTGTTCTGAATAACCTGGTTTGAATTCTTGGTGTTCGCGAAACTATAAAAATAGGAATGCTGAGACGGTATACAACCATGTTCGCGATCGATATTCCCTTTTTGTTTTGTTTTCATTTAGTCTCTCTCTCTTGACTTACTATTTGATCACGTTGCTTCTTTGAAAAGGAAATAGTTATGGGAATGTGTGATGTATTTACCTTCGTGTTGTGATCTGCCTTGATTCCAAAATTTTACGAGCGCTTGTGTCTGGTCTGGCTCTGTTCCCTGCAAATGAGTGAAAAGGAAATTAGTAACTTCTCTGTGTTTAAATTGTCAGCAAAAGAACAGTCTTTCCAGAGATATGTACTGACAAACTCGAACCTTTTTCCGCTTTGTTCCGAAACAAACTCGGAGTTTGCACCAGAAAGTAAATGTGAGCGTGGCAGCTATGGTGCAAAAAAGACAGAGCTCTGTTCCTGCCATCCCAATTATAGCACTGGAATACGTGATGTCGATGTAAGCTCTGTTTACAAATGTTTACGAACCTACGTGCTGGTATTGTGAGTACGATCGGGTTGTGATTGGCTCCGGGTCTCACTATGAAACACAATGACGTAAAATTGCGCCTTTCGACCAATCACAGCGCCTTGTAGATTTCAGACGTGATGTTGATTTCGAAATATAGACCGACGATTGTTTTAGTGTCGCGTGCTACCATGTAACGTGTTTAGTTGTTTTCTTCGACGTAAGAGATCACGATTATTATATCATTCTAGAACCCCAACAATATCACGCGTCTTTGTAAGAATTCCGCTCCTTCATTATGAACAAACCTTGTTAAATTGGCTATTTCCCTGGACTGTGACGTGTAGGTATTACTTAAAAGGTTGCCGCAACGAGATTTTCAGACTGTTTCGTCATTCGCACCTGTGCACGTACTAAAGCGTTAGTGAGCTCAACAACATCACTGTTTGAGAAACGCTTAGAAGCGCCTTTTTACGGCCGAGTCACTCTATGTGGATGACCATGCAGACAGCTGAAACTAAATGTCCAATAGCACGAGTTTAGGGGTCGTAAAAGTACAGTGTATACAAAATGAATACAACGAGATTTGTGACAAACCTGCCACTCATATCATGTTGCACTATTTATAGCTTTCCGCCGGGTAAGTACGATACAAGTAGTTGAAAAAAATATCGCCCGACTGTCTACGCAGTCGACAGAATCGAACAATTAAAGTTCATTTGATTTGCTTGTTTTTGTTATAAATATATAGAGAGACGACCAGGACATGTTACACTGTGTGACGTAATTCTAGACAAGTACTGCTGTCACGTTCGATCGAAGGTCGCTTTTATGTTCACGTGAAAACAACATCCCATGTAACTCAATCTGGCTATTACCATAGTGTATCATCTTCTGAACCATCTCCAGAACATCGGACTTTGTAACTCAACATCCAATTTTAGCTACCCTGAGTGGACTGTTGTCTCTAGTGTAAAGACTACATCACACAAAGATGGAAAAACATGTCTAGATTTACTCGGTGAGAGACGACGAGGGGAACCTCCGCTCGCAACCGTCCGATTTCCTATCGTGCATGCGCTAACTTCACTTGACTCGAAGACACCAACAACAGTTCTTTTCAGAACTACCGTTACCCTCACCCGGACGATCACATAAGACGAACTACGTCGCAATGTCGGAAATGTCGCGCTTTGTCATGCGAAACGTTTACACGCAATCGAGTATTTAGTTATTTTGGTCTATTTTCAGTGGAATTGAATTACGACTTTTCTACCGTTTATTTCTTAGAGAAACTACATAAAATTCGCAAAGTTTTACGAAGTAACGAGCGACAAAAGAAGTATGCAGGCGAATTAAACCAAAATAGACCAATTTTGATTCATTGAAATTCAGCCTAAAACATATAGACATCAGCGCGATCGAGGCTCTGGGGAATAAACCTCATAGACTCTGTAGTTATTCCCCAGGGCCTCTCGCTGAGGTCTATTGTTTAAGGCTGAATTTTAATACATCGAAATTGGTCTATTGGCTTCATTCAAGACCACCCTGTCGAGCGCTGGTCTCTCAAACTGCAAGCTAGCTGCAGATAACAAAGTGTTTTGGGGATATATAGAACTATCAACCCTTACAGTCCTTACGTCATGTTCATTGACCATGTTGACTAGGTCTGTGCAAACAGCAAAAGACCAAAGATTGTCAGTTATAAACAATTTGCATAAATGGCGTCTCAGTTTGAATGACAAAACTTTATACATCGCAAGCCTCGTGTTAATGTTTCCAGACAATGGATTTTCCACATAAATGTGACGCTTAGGATGTATAAATATTGTTACTCAAATATCGGCGTCATTTATGCAAAGTGTCGACTATTCATCGGACAAAAACTTTGAATTTGATGAGTACTTGACGAGCTCATGTCAGCGCAGTGTTGTAAATTGTAATTTGTAGCCAATCACAGGTCAGCATATACTATCTCGATCTGAAGTCTCGCAAACGGACAGCGTTTTGAAATCTATCTATCATGCGTAAGTTTTAAACCGGTTAAAACTAGTAGTAATCATAGATTAAACAGTGCGTTCGAGCACTGGTAGGTAAAGTAAAAATTCTCGGAACAACATGTTGTGCCTGAGCTGTTTGGTAGACGTGAAATTGGCAAAAGCACAAACATACAAGAAGGTTTGTTCTCATTTGTACATGTATTACGTAATATTAGTTACGACCGGTCAGTATAAAACATAGACTGTAGTCGGTAGGCCGCATTTAGTCCGCAGTCCGTGTTTTTTATATGAGTCCATATTTTATACCCAGTCCGTAATGCTTAATCTACGTTTTATACCTCAGTCAGTGTTTTATACCAAAATGTAAAAGTAAAAAAAGTACAGGCAAAGACAAACTAAGAAAAAGACAGAAAAATAAGAGCAATAGAAAGAGAAAAACTAACTCCGTGTGGCTTTGTTTGATCTTACCGAAGGGCGCTGGTAGTGTAAACCGCGCACGCGCTGATAGGGTAACTTTCAATAGATATCGGGCGCACTTCCGGTTTCTTTAAATGTTAAAGGAAACGCGGTTTTTCCTTAAATCCAGCCTTTTTCGACGAATTTCGATTAAAGCCAATGTYGGAAACATAGCTATGCATTCCTTTTTCGAAATCATACTTTTTTTCGGAAAATTACGAATTTTTCAATATTTTGAAATGCTCTCAAAATCTGACCTTTTAGAAATGAAACAAAATCGATGCATAGCGTAATGAGGATTTAAATTAAAATATTAAATCAATGAAAAAAATCCCGATAACGTAATTTGCCTGGGAGCCTTTGCATTTTTTCTGTATTAGTCACATGACCATAGGCGTGGCCTGATGACGTCATCACAAGTGTTACTGAACATGAAAAAGTTAAAACACATGAAATAACTCTGAACTAACTAAAAATGAAGAGGTTATATGAGAATAAATTTTCCTTAGCAACGGCTCGAAAAGATCGGTTAATGGGCCCTTAACGAACACGACTTGAATCGCCTTGGCTTTCGGGAAACAGCTATTGAGCATTTTCAATTCCGAAATAATGAAACGGAGGACATGTTGGCGTACCAAAGTAATCCTGTGGGAGTTGAACTCTTTTCCCATGTAAACACTTTCGTTGGGTTTATGTTACATATTTTGCGCACAGAAATGTAGGCCAGCGAAGTGCGGAAAAGTACACATTTCAAAAGCAGCGTTGGTTTTGGTCGAAGAGAAGAGGGTACGCAGCAAGCAGCCAAACTACAGCTTTCTGTTCGTACGAACAGTCGTACAGACATGTCTGAAGGGTTGTTTATGTTTATTTTATTTTGTTTTGCATTTTATTATTTTTTATTGATTTGAAGTTACTTACAATTTTTTATAAACACGCATAATTCATAAACAAACAGAAACGGTACATCGTACATTTACATACACAGACCCCAGTTCCTCTTAACTCTCCTCTACTTTTAGATATGATACTAGTACAGTGCAGCAACAACACGAGATTCTATATCAGTCTAATTGTTTTTGTACTCGCCCCATTTCATATTGCGAGCTTTTAATTTATTATTTGATTTTGCGATCATTGTCTCAAACTGGTGAATCATTTTAATTTTGGAATTAAATACTTTAATTGAAGGGAGAGATTTGTTCCGTCTACAAGAATATAAAAATGTCATTAACACTAACTTCAAACTTTAAATAAACAACTCATCCGCACGTGACGGTCCACAGTAAGCTGTCTCAACACTCGAAAGTCCGTAATATTGCACGACACTCGAAAGAAAGCACATGGACGAACATGGAGATGACGTCAGTCCCCCCTGAATATGTTTTGGGGGGTGGGGGGGAGGGAGTGGGGGGTGCAAATTGGTTTTCAGAGAAAGATACATACAGGAAAACTCGATTTTCCTCCATTACCCGATTAGAACTGCGTTCTGTCGAACGCAGCCACTTGTCAAAAACCAGTATTTTATAATTTTACTCGTTCCTGGTTGGGGACAGAGGCTAATCAAACTTATCTTCTCTCAACGAACAGAAAGAGAAGGGAATCTTTGTAAATCAGGTATCTTTGAAACATAGTTGTCCATCGACGGTTGAAACTAGAAGCTTTGCGGGTAAGCGCTGACGTACCGTTATTAGCTGCGTAAGCAAAATTGACCCCTTTCCTCTTACTCTTGGGGATACGGTGTGGTACATGCAGAAATCCCTCCCGGTCAAATCTTTACTGCTGCGAGCGAACGCAAATCAAGCGAGCGTGCCAACGTAACTGTGAGTGTGAGCAAACGAGAGACTGCCCCTACACGATCGAAGTCGTTTCGCGTGCACGATCTGAGTCAATTCGCCTACATTACAATACTACTTTACAATACTAAAAACGGCTAAAAAGTTTTCATATCTAAAAATTGACAAATAGGTTTACACTAATTATAGTAATGTTTTTCTAAGCTAATAAACTTGAAGGTCACCAACAGGACGAGTTTATGTACCAATCTTTAGCCTGAAATATAAAACTTTGAGGCAAAAAGCTGTTAAAATTGAGTCTTCACGTTTTCGATCTGTTTGATCCGCATCAGAGTGAAATAATATGCATACGTTCGGTGTTATTATAGTTCAGGTAATGCCAGTTATGTAATACCTGTTCCCATGGGAAAAAGGTGAGGTCCAGTGATTGCACTTGTTTGTTTAGGTCTGGACGGAAGCATGCGATGTAGAACGCTTCTTTTATTCTCATTTTTAACCATGAATGGGCAGTGGTTAAAACTTTCCACGAGAACTTGTGGTTAGGGTGTTTTGTGATGTGCTTGGCTGGTTCCGACTGCTTTTTAACATCTGAATGTTCGTTAACACGAACCTCGAGGTTGCGTGCTGTTTCGCCAATGTATGTTTGTCCACAAGTACCCTTGCCTTCATAAATGACGTGTGACAGGTGTGTGTTTTGTCTTTTATCTTGAAGATTGATTCCATCTTGCGTGTTTGCCACATGATAGAGAAGTTGAATCTCCATTTGGTGTACGTGTTAAGTTTCCTTAAGAATTTTCTACTTTCTACTTCATTTGTTCCGCGGAAAGGGAGACGGATTTCGACTTTAGGTCTTTCATCGAACCAGTGGACAGGAATTGTTGTTTCATCGCTTTTTGGGTAGACTACGAGTAGTCCCTCTTTCGCTTAGTCCGTCGTGCGTGACGCGAAGGAAATTCGCGGAAAAAAAATGGCCGCGCGAAATCCTGGGGGCTAGGAGCGCGCGAAAGGACGGACTACCGCCTAAGCTAGACTACGAGTAGTCCCTCTTTCGCTTAGTCCGTCGTGCGTAACGCGAAAGAAAACCGCGAGAAAAAATGATCGCGCGAAATCCTGGGGGCGAGGAGTGTGCGAAAGGAGGGACTACCGCCTAAGCCCAAGAGTTTGCTCTTTCACGGCCGAGTGATTTTTCGGTATAGGATTTCTAATCTTGACGTCCTCTCATTATCGCCTGTTGTCCATAGCCCCGGGAGATATCCTGAATAAAATTGCTCTACTCTACTCTTCAAAAAGCCAGGCAAAAACAAATGCCGTGAGAAGTGTATCTACGTTCAGTATTCGTTCAGCGAAACTACCAAAGAAGTTTTAAAAAGAAGACGGCGAATGAGACATCAGATAACGATTTTCGCTGCGTCTGTAGGTGCAAATCTAAAAGTTCAAATGCAGAGTTTCAACAGAGAATTTACATTATGTCTTTGACATAGGAGATCATCCTACTGCGGTGAAATGTTTGCCGATAGCAGCGGAAAGTTTCAGGTGAATGTCCGGTTTCAAGTGAAAGTCCGGTTCAATCTTTCAAATGGACGGCAGAAAGNGATAAAGTCAAACCGACTTCTGCCGGCCGTCGGTTTGGCTTTATCCTGCGACACAAATAGCGATTTTTTTAAAACGGGTATATAATTTTATTCACAAGACTTCTGTTCATGAGGACAACTGGCGTAGCACAAATCTACTAGGACTTTATTACTAACACGAAATCTGCTCCACATTCATGTGCACATTTCTTATTACATTACGTACCATCATACCACAGCAATAGAGAATACCTTACACGCCATATAAATCATAATTATTTTCTTTTAATTAAACATCGAAGCCTCAATCTCAATTCTGTGAACTGTATACTTCTTTCTCGGATTTTGTGCATGTCTCGAGCGTGGTCTCATAGCTACAGAATTAATTTTTTTCGTTTCAATCGCATTTCCGGCTATAAAATACGGAAAAAAGGAAGACTGTGTTGGCGCTGGAACTAGTGTGTAAAAATCAACGGAAGCAGGCAAGAAATTATCAAAAGAATATCTGAAGACAAAAATTATTATACAAAATAAAAATAAGGGACAAAGGATAAAAGCTTTCAAACGAATGAACTTTCCATTCAGTGTTCAGAACAAATTGGTTTCACTTGCTAATGTCCGTTATCTTCTAAGTTCCTTACACAGCACTGTATAAAGCAGTTAATGAGACTGTATTGCATTCTTTGTTTCCTGATATCGAGAATATTCATGGTTTCGTAAGTGTTATCAGCTTCAACGGTAACATTCAGATAACACTTGCATTAAATGTATTACACTTACGCACTTTTACTTATATTACACTTGTATACACTTATGCACTTGAATTAAGTTTTGATAGCAAGTCACCTATTTAAGGAAACTTATAAACATGTTTAAATCTGAGTTGTTTCTCGCTAAAAAAAAAGCTATTAAAGCATTACTCTCCAAATGAAGCATTTGCCTGTCATCAGAATCTCCACTTCGTAGACTGACCAACGTTTTTATGTGAAAGATAGGTATAAAATTCCCTTAAGATGGATTGTCCGAGCGATCAAGTGGTTCTGACAGATTACAAATTAAGAAATTTGCCTACCCTAATACCTTCCAAGTGGCACCATCTATTCCGACATGATGTCACATGACGATCGAAGGCCCCGAATGTGATATATTAAACAAGTTTTAGATTAGGAGCTCGAGATTTCTATCGCGTGATAGTTGACGAGGGCGCACTATCATCTAACTGTTTTAGTAAACGCTGGTTGATTTATGCTAAATGTATATATATAGCACAGTATTTGCATTAGTGAGTAAATCATCTCGCTTATTGTCCAGCCTCCATTTTTTCGCATTTCTTCCTTATTTTTCAGGCATTTCTTGGTTTTCCAAAAAGTTGGGGGGCACCCATTTCTCCTCGACTTATACGATCGAAAGTGTTCAATAGATCGTAAGAGATCGTTTCACTGATAACCGAGTCTTTCTTGTATTCGGGATGCTTGTCGACGAATCTGCGAATCCACTGCGCTGTCGTCAGCAGCTCACCTAAAGCAAAGGAAAGGTATGACTCTCATATTCGTGCCCGAGGACATAAAACTATCAAACGCTAAACAAGGCACCAAATAAACTGTCTATATATACAGGTATTGGTCAGGTGACAAAGCCACGCCCACCAGGCCGACGTTTATCTCTGTTCATGAAGCAAGTAGATACGTCCAGCACGAGAACATAAAATGTACAACCTTACCAGCATTCAAACTGGGAATCTCTTCATGGTAACAGTCATTGGGCAACTACCCCTCCCAGGACTACACATGGAAGGATTTTGCCCTGTTGCGGTATTGTGTGTACTCCGATGTAAAACCAACGCGTAGGTGTAACATATTTCAAAATGTTACAGATGCAGCGACTTGTTCCATAACGAAATATATATATATATATATATATATATATATATATATATATATATATATATATATATATATATATATATATTTGCTGTTGTTTAAATGAGATTTACAAAGTTTGTCCTATCACACATGAAAATCAATTTTCATAAGGCATTAGGTGGACCAATAATATCAAAACTGATTTACCACTCACCTGAAGCTCTCCTCGAGATAAGTTTCAAATATTGAGAAATGGTACAGTGCGTGGCAATGTCGACATCCACGTTGCTAAGGTAACATTCGATCAGCGGTATGAGTCCGGGGAATTCACCTTCCTATAAAAGGAGAAACATGAAAGACAATAAGATAGTAGGGAATCACAACGAAACAACAACAACAGCAACAACAACAACAACAGAACGTGAAACAATGAAAGTAATAAGAACCAACTCCCCCNGAAGTAATAAGAACCAACCCCCCCCCCCTCAAAAAAAAAAGTAGCAAAACAAATAAACAAAGGGAATAAATGTGACTTGAGTCCTATTTAGCCGAGCATGCAAGATCCCCGGACACTTCCTATTTACTTTTATTTTTATAACGTCATGATAATTAGTTATTATTGCGATGTAAAAAAATCATCTTAAAGTAGAAGTATTTTGGCAGTTATAAAGTTGGAAAAAAAAATGACGAAATAATAAACCACAAAGACGCGAAATTGAACTACACATATGTAAAGCTGATGTGGGACATGGCAGAGTCAGTGTAAATTCCTTCACAAACGAAAAACGTGTAACAGATACATTTCCAGTCGGCATATATCTCACCTTGCCGTTGACAATTGTGTCAATCGTCATCAGCTCAAATTCGTCTGAATCACAGTTATGACCGTCTCCATTAGTCACAGTGGAGCCTTGGAAAAGAAAATCACGAGAACATTATCGACTAAACTTGAATCCCCGCGCGAAAACCATACAGCAGAAAATAAAATCGCCAAAGTAAATGGTGTAGCACAACAGGGCTGAAACAAACTAGATCAGTTGGCCTCATTTTGCACAAACTAGTGCATGCCGAGAAGTAAGAGCAGGTAAGCCAATGACTGGCTGTTTGTGTACATGTGACAAAATTCTACTGAGCGCCGGAGTTTCGCATTACACATTTTCACGAATTACTTAATCAAACGAAATGTTCGAACCATCTCACTCTTTCGCATACTGCTCTGCCTAGTCTTTTCTAGGGTAAATTTCTTACAAATTACTGTAACTGTTACTCGCAAGTAAAAGAGAAGAAAAGTTCATCTAACATTTCTTCAAAGTTTTCCTGAAGAAAAACTTTCCCTGACGGACAGCATCTCTTTCTCCAGCGGTGACCATATTCTCGTCAACCTATAACAAACGTTGCAGATATTTTTATATAATGTTTCCTTTGATTGTTATTTTCAAAAAAGAGTCACAAATTATCCAAATTAAAAGTGAATTGTGAAAATTAAAAGTAAATTATCATAATTTTATTATAATAACTAGCATAACGTTACACAAAATGAAAATGAATTTTCTAACTAAAATTATGACGATTTCTGCAAATATAAAACGCGACGTGGTTATTTAAGAGGCTGCAGTTACAACATGTAAGGCTCATATATGGTCCCACCCAGGTACAACCTTGGCTTGGTCAGATACATAATAGGTGGTCCAAGACTATGACCAGAACGAACAGGCCTTCTTTCTCACTTATGAGTTGACAGAATTCTGTTTTTCTAAGAGCGCATGAAGGGTGAGATAGTTAATTTCCAAGAAAGGTTTTATTCACAAGGTAATCACTCTCTAGTAATTTTAAGATCACTTGCGATTTTATAAGGGTCTAGAAATAGCCAATCCTGTGACCCAGAGTTTTGGTCACGTGTGCAGCCTAAACTGCTTTACGCGTGCGTAGTAACATTAACCGCGGAGGTAAGTTGGTCGCTCGTCTAAATATAACTTGAAAGGGACTACCTTTGGAATAAGGCCTGTATGGGGGATTGGCTCTCTACCCGTCATTCTCTCTGGGTTATTTTCATTGTCTCACCTTGGACAAGGGAATAAGCAGATTGAGGTGAAACGATAAAATGGCTCTCGTGAGAAGCACAATGAGAGCTACAAAGGCGGCATTTTCAAAGTCTGTCAGTTGCACCTGGTAAAAATAATAAAAGGAAAAGAAACAATCAGTGCAGTTAACGAAGAAATGATTATAAAAAATCAGTCAGCTGCATTTGCCTTGGGTTTACTAAAGAAAAATGTTACGTTGTTTTTACATAAATTTAAATTGATGATTAAAGAGAGAGAAAACCAAACAACGAGCGACCAAATTTAGTTATTTATTCTGAATTTCAAGTCTTCGGCGTTGTTCGCTATTTCCGACATTTAGCTTAGACTTCTAATCGTTTATTTATTCACTATGACCTTTAAATTTTCGAAAATTCCAGTGAGTGACTTTAAAGGAAAAAAAATTGTCGTGGACGATTAATTGAGATTGGGTATAAAGTCTAGGTCTTTCTGTTAAATTTAACGTGTAATATTAAAACCAATTTTATTGGTTCTCTCCATGAATCTGCTACCCTCGTAGGGATAACCAATGATCTTAGCTTAGAAAGACGTCACGGAATAGAAACAAATCCTACTATCTGCAATTGCTTTTGAATCAACCATTGATGGCAAATATTCTTCTTCTTATCACTTTGTTTAGGAGTGAAAGTTAAACCTAAGTAAACTTCTACACTATATTACATCACAGGCTCTGAACTCTACTCTCCAACCGATGGACGAGTTAGGGGGAGGCGGTTTGAAACGCATGGTCTGCCAGTTGGTGGACTGGATATTCTGAGGAGCAAAATAAAACACATTGTCCGTTAAGCGATGGACACTTCATCTTTATGCCAAAGTAGGGGACGAAGGATTCTACACTTCTTTCGTCGAACAATCGATCAGTAGGTTTCCATAACATAAAATTGTCCATTGATACAAGGATTGGGATGCTCTTTATATTGAGCTTACCTCAAAATGATTCGTATTCTGTTCATCGTCTTCATAGATATGCTCACGGAACAAGGTCAAAGGATCCCGGATGAATAAGTGCGCAAAATGGCGAGCCAACTGTTGATCGATTCCTAACAGTGAGAAACAAAACAGAAGATATGTAAGAAAAATATATACACAAATCCTGAAAAAACGGTCGTCATGTTGCCCCCCCCCCCTTTTTTTTCCCTTTTTTTTTCGTTTGAAAACGAAAGACAGCGCACACGCAAAACACACACAGCAAGGTGGTAAAGTCAATTTTAAGTTGCATGGCTTTTAGGATATTAAATGAAAAACCTGCTCATGTGAAGTCATATCAACGTCAATAACTGGATGATTGGAGAGAGCCAGGAGCCCATGAGCTGACAGAGCTTCTAGCTACAAATAAAATAGAGGAGTTGTTGCTTGATCGATGAAGTTTACTTCATACGTTCAACAATTTTAATGATATCACTAACCGCCATCCACCAGCTGCTGATAAATCTCATTGTCGTACACCAAGTCGATATCACTGTACTTAATTCCCTCTGGTGACAGGTATGTACTGATGGAGTCATATCGCGACTTCGGAATCACAAACCTGTTTTCCTTCAAAGGCTGCAGGACGGGGCCAAAGAAAAAGAAATTTCAAATACCGAGAAGAAAAATCTACGTGCACAAAGCATGAAAATGTTTCGAAAATTTGGTGGTAGAGGTCAGATTAGTAACTGGTGATTTTCAGTTCGAAGTGGAAGGAAAAGGTGTTAAAAGCAATGAAAGTTTAATTTCTTATGTACATTTTGTATCTTGAAAAATCTCTGGAGTTGCCAACGTACCCAGCCCTTACTAGATGGCAATTTTCGCTGTAGCTTACGGAGAACCCTGGGTACTTTTAATGAAGACATTAAATCTCCCTGTCAATGATAACCCAAGTATTCTTATCATCTGTAAAATTGCAAGGGGAAGTTACATTTTAAAGTAAGCTCTACCCACGTCAACTTCATCAACAATTAGGACTTTGAAATTTTAAAGTATAATTGGAATTTTAGAATTCAATTTATCTAAATTTTTTAAACTTATTTTAAACACTGTCACCTATTCGTGGATTAATTCTGCTATGATTTTTTGACAACTATGAAATTATACTGAAGTTTATTCTTTTACTGTGGGCAGCGACCTTTGCCGCAGTTTGGTATAGCTGTCAAGTTTATCATTGCTGTTCTTCTTCTAACTCACCTCCAGTCCTCTCTCCTCAGGTGTGCGATCATCCACTGAGCCTGCTATCACACTCCAGCGGCAATCAAGATCTGCGAGGTATCCACGATGAATTGGCGTACCTGCTGACAGTGCCATCTTCAAGAAAAGAGGAAGAGACGTCTTTGGAGTTAAACTGTTAAAATGGGTACCTAGACGAATTTCAGTTAAAGGTTTATAACAAACAAGCTTAACACAATTTTTTTTCTTCATTCTCCCGTACTGCTCCGAGCAGCAGGGAGTGTCGTTTCATTCATTTTTTTTTTTCTTTTTGTCACTTACTAATATCGGGGCGACCACTGCCAGCTGATCATACAGGTATCTTGCTTCGCTGATACTACATGCTTGGAAAGTCGTCTGCATTGTCAAATAAAAAAAAGCAGCAAGTTGTTAGCATTATACACAACGTACACAGAGAATGAACTGGACCGGGAAGCAGACGACAAATTGAAATTTTCTGTGAAAAACTTCCATGCTTTCGGAGCTTATTTTTGGTCACGCGCAACGTGATAAGATATAACTAATGCAAATTATGCTGTTATCTGATGAGCCAATCAGGTGATAAACCGATGCTAGTTAAGAATTACTAGCTTATGAACTCAAGATCTCCGTCCCATTAACTCCCGCCTCAGAGAAATGGAGAGTGAATAGCCTAATGGTTTTAGGGTAATACTAAATAAATTCCTTTCAAATACTAACTTCCTATTATTCTTAGAATTAATCAGTTTCTTGGACTGAAGTTTGAGCTTTTAAAGTCTCGTAACTGTAAATGTCCTTCTTTTTGCCTTCTCCGGAATTTAATTATCCATTGTCCTTCTAAATCTTCCTCCGACTGCTTCGAAGAAAGAAGAAAACGTCACCATTTTGTTCACCACGTCAAGTCGATGCACACTAATGACTGATAGTGTGTGATGGCTCGGTCATGCGGTGGAAGTATATCTTTCTCCGCAGTTCAAATATACAGGATCTTTCACCTATTCACTTGTATACTAGTAGATTAGTGTTAGTAGAAGTAACATTCTTTTTTATGGGATTTTTTTTTTTTCTGTTTGATTTTGGTTTTGCCCCACCTAGCAACCCTGTTACACATTTTCCCGTACTTGATATCCATGTTCCATGTTCTCCTCCACTTGACATTCGTACTCCAAATTCCACCACCACCCCTTCCCCCTTAGCACATTTTTAACATG